CGTACAAACGCGTCCGTATGAACGCGTCCGTACAAACGCGTCCGTACCAACGCCTCAGTACGAACGCGTCCGTACCAACGCGTCCGTACCAACGCGTCCGTACCTACGCGTCCGTACCTACGCGTCCGTACCTACGCGTCCGTACCAACGCCTCCGTACAATCGCGTCCGTACCAACGCCTCAGTACCAACGCCTCAGTACCAACGCGTCCGTACAAACGCGTCCGTACAAACGCGTCCGTACAAACGCGTCCGTATGAACGCCTCAGTACGAACGCCTCAGTACGAACGCGTCAGTATGAATGCGTCCGTACGAACGCCTCAGTACGAACGCCTCAGTACGAACGCCTCAGTACGAACGCGTCAGTATGAATGCGTCCGTATAAACGCCTCAGTACGAACGCGTCAGTACAAACGCGTCCGTATAAACGCGTCAGTATGAACGCCTCAGTACGAACGCCTCAGTACGAACGCCTCAGTATGAACGCGTCCGTATAAACGCCTCAGTACGAACGCGTCCGTATAAACGCCTCAGTATGAACGCGTCAGTATGAATGCGTCCGTACAAACGCGTCCGTATAAACGCGTCAGTATGAACGCCTCAGTACGAACGCCTCAGTACGAACGCCTCAGTATGAACGCGTCCGTACAAACGCCTCAGTATGAACGCGTCAGTATGAAGGTGTCCGTACAAACGCATCCGTACGAACGCGTCCGTACGAACGCGTCAGTATGAACGCCTCAGTATGAATGCGTCCGTACAAACGCGTCCGTACAAACACGTCCGTACAAACGCGTCCGTACAAACGCGTCAGTACGAACGCGTCCGTATAAACGCGTCAGTACGAACGCGTCAGTACAAACGCGTCCGTACAAACGCGTCAGTACGAACGCGTCCGTATAAACGCGTCAGTACGAACGCGTCCGTATAAACGCGTCAGTACGAACGCGTCCGTATAAACGCGTCCGTACGAACGCGTCAGTATGAATGCGTCCGTACAAACGCTGTTCTCCGTCGGTGAGCTCTGACTACTTCCTGCTCACGTTTCAGAATTCTTCGGGCCGGTGGACGTGACGGATATGTGAACTTTTTGTGAACTTTAGGATTTAATTCAAGTGTCAGGTGACTCTCCTCAGGGGCGTGGCCTCTCAACTCACGATGCCGCAGCAAGCAGAGGAGGGGGGCGGGGCTCGGAGCAGTGTTAAGAGCAATGGACGATGAGAGCATGAATCGGTTTCAGGACACGATGGATGAAGTTTGTGTTTGTGACACGATGCAGAGACTTACCGTCTGTCTGCTGCAGGATGACAACAAACATGCAAGAATACCGCTGCACGCTGAAGCTCTTCTCCTTCAGCTCTCTCATCTCCTACTACAGTAAACTGGCCCTGAACCTCTCACACAGTGAGTGTAATTACTCTACATGAGCAGTGGAGAAGGAGCTCAGCTTTAACGTGCTCAAGGTGAAATACTCACACAACAAAAAACCCATGAAAAAAAAAGAACAAAACTCCGGGAAACAACGACACCAGACAGAAAACAAAAGCAGAACATGTGAAAATTAGTGAGCAGACAAGAAGAAGAAGAACAGAGGAGACAGCGAACACGTTGTGAAGCACACAGACGACACATGAAGTTCATTAAGACTCATCACTTAAAGAGTTGTGTGAAGCGCTGCGTACCTCTGGATGCCCTGGAAGGTGCTGCTGGCCATGTCCACGATGCCGCCCGTCGGCCGAGCCACCACGCCCACCAAACCTTTACCGATGCCCTTAAAGAAACCCGCCGCTCCCTCCTTCTTCGCTCCTACGGACACACAAAGTCACCAGCAGGTTCTACTGCAGGTCTGAACAGAATATCTGCTATATATTACATATCTATACATATGTATTTATAAACCTGTGCTATTGATTTAATTATATCAATATTTAATCATTATAATATGAAGTTACACCAAGCCTACGCTTACACTCACACACATCTACACACAATCACGTTCTTTCTTTTATTGTTGCTGATAATGTATTGTTATGTATTATATTATATCTTGTTAAAATCCTTTGTCATCAACATTACGTAGTAATATTTTGTGTTATTATATAGTGGAGGCTTCAGATAAGCCTGCTGGGTTTTCTGCCTCTTCCTGCACTGTGATAACATTTTATGTTTGATAGCGTAGTTTTTGAAATTGTGCAAATTATTTATTTGTTTTCCTGATACTTTGATCAATAATGTTGTTTTTAAATCTTTTTTTACAAACACGTTAATTGCAAATAAACAAAATTGAACAGAAAAGTTATCATTATGTAATCATGTAATGAGTGAGAGAGATGCAACAACAAACGTTACAGTCGAACCATCAACCGTCTGTTGACGCCGTTTTAAAGCCATTAATTATCATTATTATTATTATGTCAGAGTTGACTATAACTGCTCTGTAATACATTGACTTGGCGTGATGATATCTAGATGTTTATGTATTATATATAGAGAGATAGATATACCGTATATATATCTGAGTACTCACCCTCCACGGGTTTGGTGACGATGCCCGTCACTCCCCCCACGAGTCCCTGTGGAGACACAAAGTGTTACTGACCTCACATCAGCTGATAGACTGTTACTGGTGTCACTTTGAGTCTCTGAGGACCTTCAGCAGTCCCTTTCCTCCTTTAGCCAGACTCTCTCCGAAGTCTTTGGGCGGTCGGTTAATCTCCTCTCGTCGTTTCTGCTGGTACTCTTTGTCCATGGTGATGGCTGCCAGACCTTTACCCACCGAACCCGTGATCCTGGAAACCATACCTGCAGCGCCACCTGCAGGACAGCCGGAGGAGGAAGCGGTAAAAAAATGTATTTATGAAAGTTTAATGAAAAAACAGCGAAGTCATTCTTCTTCCAGGTCAAAAGCTGGTGCTTACATTACCCACAAAGCACCTCTCCCTCTGACAAATGTGTGGTAGATTGTAGTGTGCTACGCTAGTAGCAGCTAACGTAGCCTGCAAAGAAGATGAGCAGCATCTGCTTCTCTCGAACTCCACATCTCCACATTTATTTACTTTTTTAATTTGTTGTTTCCTTTGAAGTTTCCACAGTTCAATAAAAAGATTCAGTCCAAAGACATGAAGAAAAATGAAGCGACTCCTCCGTCACCACATGAACTAAACTCCAGACACATAACAGAAGATTCTGGTTTCTTACCGACTGTGTGACCCAACAGGCTGCGGACTCCGATCACCAAACCTTCAGCAAACTCCTCGGGACCCTGAACGGCTCCCTGAGGAACACACATAGCAGTCGGTTCATTAAAGCAGGTCTTTGCAGGTCCACCCAGCTCCTAGAAACCTCCAGTCCAGGTCCAGTTTATTAATAATATTTATATTTAACCTGAAAGATATTCTACTTTGGACAGGACATGACTCATGAAGCAGATTCAGATGCATGCTTTAATGCCAAGGACCCTTTCTAGAGTCATAACTAAATGTTGCCATGCTTTCTGGATCCACTGGTTTGATTGCAGTCAGATATGTTTCACATTTAGCTGCATAATAGTAAGAATGAGATAAGATGACTTCACATGTGGTCCTCTTGGTCCTGATCCAGCTGTGAAAACGTTGACTGGTCCACGTGAAACAACAGAAGCTTGTTGACATGGTGACTACTCACAGAGCTAACAGCTAGCTTAGTCACATTAGCATCACTCAACATTTTGTTCAATAAAGAGTTCCTCAAGATGGAAAAACAACGACGTACTTCTGATTTAAGATTTAAAAACTCGTTTCTATGTTACAGTGTGTTGTGTTACCTGGAAAGGTTCGTAGAAGAAGGCCTCCACTCCCTCGGACAGACCTCGAATCAGTCCAAACGGGTTCCCCAGGACGTCCAGACCCAGAACCAGAACATACATCTGTTTGAGGAACTGCAGCCAGAAAACAACACCAATGGTCTTTCGTCACAGTTTGACTCCTCTCATCGTTTAGACTATCTGACTTTAGGTTCACTGATGAAAGATGGTTGAGACAAGCCGACACTTTCTGAAGACATCCGAGAAGAATCTTTAATCTTAAGATCAGCACGCTATACTAAAATGAGTTATCATCATTTTATAGCACTGTATAATTACATATATAAGCACTCATAAATATTCATATCGCTTATAACAATTACAACATATTATAAAGCATTTTATAGTAACTTATGTAGTATTCACTGATATTTTTTCTGCAAGTGTATTATAATTCTAATAGTTGCAACACATTATATTGTTTTTAAAATGCATTATAATGTGATTATAAGTTACACTAAGTGGACATTGTTTGCTTTAAGCGTATTGAAAAAATATTAAAACTATACAAGAACACACAAAACGCTGTAAAATAAGTTGATCTGTAATTAGATATTTGGTAAAAGCAGGACACAGAGAAATAGAAACACCACTAAACAAGAACAAGATCCAACACAGGAGGATGAAGAGGTGAGGAAGATGTTACCTGTTCACTGTAGTGACGAACCACGGCCCACATCAGCTTGTCTCTGCGGTAAAACTGGTACTTCACCTGGAAGAAGGCCAGTCTGACAGCGAGGACGAGAAACAAACATCAAACACGAGAAAGAAGAAACGGAGACTGAACTCTGCTTTTACTTTGACAAATGATTCCTCTTCCTGTGGCCGCAGAGGTCAAAGAGGCGTTTCTGATGTTTAAGGCGACACTAGAGCAGTGTCTTTCTATGGCCCAGAATGCATCTCTTTACAACAAAAGAAGCAGGAAGTGTCTTACTTGAAGATGAGGTCATCGACGTCCGTCAGCGTGGCTCCGATACTTTTCAGCAACAGGTTGAAAGACTGAAGGGCCGCCGTCTCCTGAGCCGAGTCCTCACCGCTGGAGCCCAGAGACAGACTGAGATGGAGCTGAGATATGAAATATAACAACAAAGATATGAAATATAACAAGAGAT